TGGGTCTTATAGGTAGGGGAGAACAGGTTATAGGGCATCAGTTCTGCTCTGCTCTGTTAATATAGTCACTAAAGCTCCCCACTTCCAGGGGAGGGAACTCAGGCTTCCTCTCAGTGGGGAGCGTCAAAAGCCATGCTGCAAAAGGAGCAGGCTGGTCCGGGAGCTTATAAAAAATACAATCCACTTTGCCTTCTAAGGCAATATTTTGTCATTCTTCTTTGGAAGAATGTTTAGGGGCTCCTAAATCCTCACAGAGAGGTAGATCTTGACGTTGTAAAGGCCAGAGGACATGACACAGAAGCCGTACTTAGAGACAAAAGCAAAACCATGGAAAGAAGTGATGTTCTGAGCCAGGTTAGCTGCCCTCGAGCAGGACTGACCCAGCCCCACCACAGTCCCCCACCACATGGCCCCGTCATCTGCCCATGTCACATCCTGTGGTTTCCCCTGCCTCATCGGGGTACCCATCTCACCTCAGTTATCCTGCCACACCTACTGCCCGGAAAGGCCCCTCCAGGTCTGCTGAGGACACGCCCACTCACCTCCTGTGCCCTCTTCTGAGAAATCTTTTGGGGTTCTTGGTGCTACTTGTCAGGTCCCTTTGATATTGATCGTTGTCGTGAGCAGTGTGTTTGCCGTACGGAACTTAAAACTTACCACTGTTGGGCACATCTGCCCTTCGCATCCTCACATAGGAACCAAATTCTTCTCATCTGATAATGATTTCCAAACCAGACTCTGCCATTCTAATTAAATCGGTCAACTTTTACTACATGAGGATGATTTGACAACACCATCAGGTGTCTGAACTGTTTAGCAGATACTTTAGACTGTAATGTTTTGACTTATTTTGAAAAATTGTTCTAGTCTATTGTAACAGCTGTTTGACTTACTGCAGGGTGATTTGAACAATTTTGTGCTTTTTCTTTAAGTAATGCCAAAAACAAGCAGAAAGCAAAACATGTCCTATCTCAGTTTATATATTAAAACAAACAGCCCCAAACCACAGCCAAAAGTCTAAATCTTATCCTTGGGACCCCAGCAGCTTAAAGTGGGGTAAAACAGTCCCCTACTTACTCTGTGACATCCTCACAAAGGACCCTTCCTTGATTGTTTTAATACTGATTTTGACTGTTCAATAAACTCTGCAAAGACCAAGAATTTGATGTTCACCGTTTCACCCAAACCAGTATTTGTTACCTAGGAAACACTTCGTAAATAATCATCGAATGGGCAGAGAATTCTGGAGGGTGAAGTGACCCTTCTTTTACTCTTTACCTTTCGACCCCCAAAACGCCACCAGTGGGAGGTAGAGCTGGTAAAGCTCTTTTTGTGAAGGAGGCACGTTGAATCAGTTAGCATTTTGAAGGAGCTGGATGTGGAGAGCGCTTAGTCACAGAGTGACAACTTACAAAATAAATAGAAAGCCAGTCAAGGGAAGTAACCACAGGAGAGGGAGATCCTAGGAAAACAGTTGACAGGATGAAGGAGTGTACAAACCAGTGTACTGGGAGCCCTGTCCTGTCTGTGCCTTCTGTGTTCTGTCATTGATCATACCACGCAGCCTTCTGGTTATTTGCTCTTCTATGTTCCTTGAGGGTTGGGACCTGGTCCCATTGGTTGGGTTCTCTGTGTTGTCCACAGTTGTTGAATGTAGCCCAGTTGCTGCCCTTCGTAGCTGAATCCCGGATGATGGCCTTGTTGAAAGGTGAGAGAGTTGGGACCAGGGGGTGCATCTGCTCTTGCTTGCAGTCAGTTACAGGACACTGTCCATCTGGAAGGAATCTTAGTGGCCATCTCGTCCAAAGCCCAGGTCACGAGGTCGAGTGGACAGCCCACTATCTAGGGACAGTGCAGTCTTTGGGCTCTAGACTCCCACATCCTCTGTCCTCTCCTCACTTGCACTTGTTTGTATTTTTTTCTGTTATCTTTAAAACTGTTTCTATATTAACTGTTACAAAGCACATGATAATGTAAGTTTTCAGCATCATGATGCGATGAATACCCTTGAACCCACCATGCCATGTAAACCTAAACAGATACCAACTTTCATCTTGTCTTGGTGGCTTCCTTATAACTAGTCTCACTCTTTCTGAATTTTGTATTTAGCAGTCCCTTATGTTGACTTAACAGAAAGAAAAAAGCCTTGTTATATGAATTTAAAATCCATGCGTAAATTGTAGGGAGTTCCCTGTTGCTTCTTGTCGAGCTTTATAAAGTGATGGCATTGTAGCCGGTCCCTGGGACCCACCCCCCCCATCACTGTTTCCAGGGCACCTCATGGTACTTATGTAGCTGTAGGTGATCTCCATTTTCTCCTCCCCTGTGTGGTTTCCTGTTCGGACCCTTTAGGGTTTGGGATGACTCCTGAGCAAACGGCTCCAGTTAACTCTAATTTAAACTTTTTACAAGCTGTCATTAAGCTTCCTCATGCCGTTTCACTTAAGGGAAGCATTTAGTCATTTCCTAATTTAATGATAGTTAAACATCCTCAGCCTTAGAAATTTGTAGCGAAACATTTCCAATTAAGATTAATTGGGATTAATGTAAAATATGAGTCAGATCACTTTACAATAGTATGTTAGTACTGTCAGCTAGATCCAGTCCGACAGAAGACTCTGAAGGACGCCCTTCTGCTGGCCCCTTGGGGGTGAGGACCTGGTCAGCATTTAGGGGCTGGGAGCATGAACAGGTCTCGCGGAAGGGTTAACACGGCTTCTTTGGTCAAGTTACGTCTTCTCCTTTCCTAGGTAATAGGAAATTCTTAATTTCTAGCTAATTGCTTTAGAATCCCAGTATGTTCTGGATTACATTTCAAATTAGCTATCTAAGTATACCTAAGTTTGATTTTTCAGTTCTGAAGAAGAATTGATGTTTTCCAAAGCCTGGAAGTTTCTAGGCAAAATGAGTGGTCTTTGATTTAGAATTACATATAAAATGTTTATCTGTGTGTTTTCCAGAGAGAAGCCTTATCTTTGATCAGATTCTGAGAGTCAGCAGCCCCCCAAAACGATTGTTTTTAGATGGGGATTTCTCTGCTTTAACCATATTAACATTTTGAGCCAGGTAATTCTTTGGTGTGGGCAGGCTTCGTTGGCCTTTGCCTAGCAGGATGAGGTGTCTCCTGGTAGGGTGCTTAAAACCTGTATGATGTATGTATTCACACACATACACAACACCCCAGTCATCGAACACAGACTGCTGTTAAACATTTCCCATGTATTACTAAATTATTGTAACAGCTCTATGAGGTGCAGTTCCCATTTTATGGATAAATGGAGGCTTATAGAAGTGAAGAAACTTGCTCAAGGTTGTAAGTTAATGAATGGCAGAACTGGGAATTGAATATGTCTCTCTAGAGTCAAATCAGCTTATCTGTGTGCTCTACCTTAGGCGTGGTGTTAAACTCTCTTCCCGTGCCAGCAGGCAAAACCCGTCACCGTGGCCTTGGCTGACACACGTTGTCATAGAGCTGCATGGCACAAGCAGGAAGTTCATGGTTGCTGGAATATTTCATTAAGCAAAACAAGTGATAGGATTTCTGGTGTGGTGGTTCGGGGCTTTTTTTTTTTCTTTGTTGTGTGTTCCAGAATGAGTTGTCATTGCTAAGTATTTTGAGCAAGGGACAAGCTCCTTTTTTTTTTTTTTTTCTTTTTAAACAAGCTGCTGTGTATGCCCTATCAGTATCTGAGAATGTAACTGACTCTGCTTAACAATGTCTTTGGTGATGTAAAGTGGGTCTTTGCCCAACGAGACTGTTTAGTGCAGGCGTCCTCAAACTACAGGCTGTGGGCCACATGCAGCCCGCCTAGGACATTTATCCCGCCTGCCAGGTGTTTTTGCTGCCGTTGCCTGTCCTGCTTAGCAGCCAGCTCATCCCGGGGCCCACAGTCTGGCCCTCGAGCGGTCTGAGGGACAGTGAACTGGCCCCCTGTTTAAAAAGTTTGAGGACCCCTGGTTTAGTGTGTTGATTCAGGGCTTTTTAAAATCCTGAAATTCCTCTGAGGAGAGATTCCACATACAGCTCATATACTGGCTCTGATGGGTAGTGTCAGGCCCCTCTGCCTCCCCGCCTAGAGTCGCCCGTGAAGGTCTTCACTATTTGACCTGGCCGACCTTTCTCACCTTATGTTTTGCTGCTCCTCCCGAGGCCAGCCTTCTGCATTTTAGTCCACCGTGCACTGAATTTACTTTGGGCTTTACCAGTCTTACTTCCACTCAATTCCCTTCCTCCCTTCTTCCCTCCCTAAATTATTTTTAATATATTTGTGGTAACTGGCACGCGGTGGCAGGCAGTGAATATCCAGAGCATAAATACTATGTGGGAGAGTGTCGCCGAGTGCATGGTGCATAGTTCTAAAAAGGCAGTCAGCACAGGGCTGGTGTCTGTGCTTCTAGTCCCCTGTGGCAGCAGGGACATGGTTTATTTTTCTTGCAGTCCACTCTGCCAGCTGGGGTGGGCTCGTGACCGTACTGTGGTATAGGTCTCAGACTACTTTGCTCAGGGCCTGGGGAAATTGACCAGGCTTCCCCTTGGAAAATGAAGCACTCTTATTCTGTGTCTTGCCACTCAGTCTTTGCCTGGCTTTTCCCCCTGGCTTGGAGCTTATCGAGGAACCTGGCCTGGTGATGTTACCTGGTGCTTATACCCTGGTTACAGGAAAGGCTACAATCTGCGCGCCATAGGACCAGCCTGGGGTCAGTACATCTGCAGGAGCAGGAAAGTGGACAGGGAGCTTTCTGAACTCTCCGGTCTATTTCCCATTGTTTCAGGGTCTTTTGAAAGCCCCTGGTAGAGAGAGAGACTGCTACCAAAGGGGAGCAGCCAGCCTGCCCAGCAGTCTCCCTCTAGCCTGTGGGCTCCTAGAGGCCCAGCAGAGGGCCCATTGCAGGGCTCTTTGGCCTTAGAATTCCCTGGGCAAGCATGATTTTTAAAAGAAGTTTTGGTATACCTGTTGGCAAAAATGACTTAAATACTTTTTAATTTCTCCCTCTCCAGAGTGATCAGCAGCTGGACTGTGCCTTGGACCTAATGAGGCGCCTGCCTCCACAGCAAATTGAGAAGAACCTCAGCGATCTGATCGACTTGGTGCGTACCTTCTTCGTATGGTTCCGTTTGAGACTGCAGCTCATAATCGTTTGCTTTGGTGTAGCTTTTCCATGCAGAATTCATAGCACAGGAAACCTTTTCTCTCCCTAGCCAGATAGCACCACTGGGCTGCAAGATTTCTTCAGATAGGGAGAAAATGAGATTCATGTGGTGGTCTGTCGTTCAGAACTATCTGTGTTAGTAAAGCCCAAGTTAGGAGCTCTAAAGTTGACAACAGCCTGCCCCATCCCC